GGTTGTACTCCATCTCCGTTTCTGTTCAACTGCCTCATAGATTTAATCCTTGAAACAGCCCTATCCCCGTGCGAGGATAGCGGTATCGATTTACTCCTAGGTGGCAGGCTTTCTGATCTAAAGTATGCAGTCGACATTGTGCTACTAAGTGAAGATCCAAGTAAATTGCAGTCTTTTCTGGATAGTTTGAGTCCTAGAGTATCCATGTTCGGTATGCGTTTCGCACCTTCAAAGTGTAAAATGTTAATACAAGACTGAGTTGGTCCTACATCCAGCCTCACTCTGGGGAAGTAATAGAGCAAGTAGATAAGTTTTTTTATTTCGGCAGCTACATCGCACCCGGTGGACGCATCACGGATGAAGTGTCAGCACGCATACATAAGACCCGGTTGGTAGTTGCTAACTCGAGACATCTGCGGCGCCGTCGTGAAATCCGGCTCTCTGTGAGCGGTCGAGCATATGCCTCGGCAGTTTGGCCAGTTCCGCTATATGGCGTAGAAACTTGGGCATTAAGAAAACAGGATAAAGATAGACTGTCGGTGTTTAAACACCGCTGTCTACGCAGTATTGCACGAATCTGGTGGGGCAGTCGGATGAGCAATGCTAAAGTTAGGCGCAGAGATTTGGGTAACCGCGGTCGCCCACTGGAGCAATTGAACGATCTCCGTAGATTACGTTGGTTGGGGCAAGTCCGCAAATAGGTTGCTACGACGAGTGGTTCGCCGAGGCAGCTAGTGGTTGGAATAAAGCCACGGGTGGTCAACCTAATACTTGGCGTGAGGGTATGAAAACCCCTACCTGGACACTTGGTCACATAGGTCCCGTTAGGTGCCCTGGATGATCGTACCCGGTAGTTAGAGACACTGAGTGATGTGAGTCGTAAACAGTGGCGTTCGCGCATCTCGATTTCTTTGCAACATTCTCGATTTTCTCTTTGATCCCACTTTCACCTTTTGGTGTCTTTCTCCTGATGTTCCTCCAAATGGGCAGTCGAAAGAAATCAACCAAAACTGGCGTACGAAAATGCATGGTTAATGGTTGTACAAGTTGACGAAGCTGAAGCGTCAAAAGGCACTAAAAGCTAGCCATAGGCCCTAACCTGACCTGATGTATGACGGTGCAACTCCTTGAGGATTGACAGATACTTCTCAGGTACTCCATTCACCAACAAAGAGTTCCGTAGTGCTGTCCTATCGACAGAGTAGAAGGTCGCGCAGATTTCTAAGAACAATGTGTGCTGGTCTTTGGTAAGCATAACGATGCTCTAGCAGTTGTCGGAGGCTGAAGATTTGACTGATGCATCCAAAACGGACGTGAAACCCAGTATGCTCTTCGTGGATCTGTTCTTCACGCGTCTTGTATAACCGGCGGAGAATGATGAACGCCCACAGCTTTAACGCTTTCGGGATCAAGCTTGTGCCCCCTTGATTGGCAGTCACGGTGCGGGCCTTTTTCGAGATGGGAATAACAATCGATTTCCCCCACGAGGACGGGACCTGCTCAGTGTTCCAGACTTTAGAGAACAGAAATTGTATTTATTTTACAAACGTTATTCCATCACAACAAAAACAACAATCAACACCTTTGTTTACAAAACTGTCATTATTCCACCATCTTTAAATAGGGCAGGATGAAGGCCATCGGAGCTCGGCGCTTTGTGATGACTCAAAGCTTGAATCTCCTTACAGATTTCCGCCTCCGAAGGTCGTTCTTTTGATAGAGACCATGGGACGTGTGCCGCCATAGCTGTGTGAAAAGCCGACGCCGGTGGCCAGCTAAACTTTGCCTCTAAGTGCTCCGCCCAGCGCGCAAGACGTCGATATTGATTACGAATGGGCAAGCCGTCAGCTTCGCAGATCGTTTCGCTCGCAACCAAGACTTTCCTACCGGTGACCCGGATGAGATGGAACAGCTTACAGGACGTTCCATCTCTGATGCGCGTTGAGTTCACCAGATTTCACGGTCCCTGCGTAGGCTTGCGTTGAGGTTACGACTCACTGCGTGTCGTATTTCATTATGCTCGCTGCTTAGACTGCGTTAATGGTGGAGATGAGGAATGGTGAGATAGCTGTGGTATGCTTTGTGTTCACATAAGTTCGGCAAACCTGCTGGAAGTGCCACTGTTTGCCACACGACTTGCAAGTCTCAACTTTCGCGAGCCACTTGTGACAAGGATTATTGATCTTAGCCACAGAAGAAGCAGTTTATTGGAGACGCAGCCACTTTTTTTGTAGGTGTCTGATCAATGTCGCTAGCAGCTGCGGTCTAAATTGAAGGAGTGGCTTCGGTGAATATATGAGACTGCTGCTCAGGTGGAGCTTTACCTTGATCGTAAGCGCTACTCGGATCGAGTGAATCTTTTGGAGAAACCACTGACAGATAGGGTTTGATGATGGCCCACTGATACACGTATCGCGGATATGGTCCTCGTTTTTGTTTTGCGTTGACTGCTTTAAAATTGCAGTCTCGAGCACAGTTTCTAATCTGCATAATTTGATCTAGACTTCAGGAGTATTTCGCTTCGATGATATGGAAAAGTGATGCGCAATTACTTCNGAATTAAAGAATTGGTATGGCCGAATTGTAATTGGTGCATCGCAAAATGTATTTCTAGCCAGTAACAGACAAATCGTGCATAATAGTTTTGTTTTACCAGCTCTAGTTAGTTAGTGAACTTATAATACCAGTCTTCCTATTAGCCAGCACCATTTTTTGAGTTTGGATCAGTGTCGAAACTATCCGAGAGTAGATGTCAGTCCATCGTATTTGACTGATTAACTTGTTGCGTGATACATTTTACAATTGATAGGAGATTGTACCGTGATGCATTGTCGGCAGACAGTGTAGTCTGATCTTTGTTAAAATTGAGTAAATTTGTAGTCTCGAACTTGCTGCTCGTGATATTTTCTTCTACCACGTTACTAAGTCGTTGTGGGCATTAAAATCTAGTGTTTTTTCTGTGTAGTTGTTACCTGCAAAACATTTGAGCCTCCATCAGAGTTGGAAATACGAAGCTGCATTTTGTCATAAAAGAAAGGGAGGCTGCGAGACCTGATCGACTTCTCCCTATTCTTTTTAAGGTGGGCAGTGATTCTCTGGTCGACTCGATTACTAGCTTACTTCGCAGAATTCGTTCAGAGGAGTATATCGCTTCATCCTGGAGTGTTTCGTTGATCGTGTCGATCATCAAGAAGGGATCGCGCAACGATTGCGCCAACCACAGCGGAATTAGCTTAGTTCCGATGCAAAACAAAAAACTGTCTGATGAGCTGCCCGGTGGCCGAGTGTGTAGTACACTTGCGTTCTACCTGTGTGGTCCCGGGTTCGTTCCCCGGTTGGGTCGATGGATTCGCACTGCTGATGAGACCCAACCAGGTCAAAACAGCTGTCCAGTGCTTCCTAGCTTTTCACTTCATGCTTCATTTGATACATACACGACGAATTCACTTTTGAAATCACAAAAGTGTTGACTTCTGTGTTATTTCGGCACCTGATACTTAGTTATTTATTTAGCGGTTCCTGTTCAATTTCGTCGTAAACGAAATACTGGAGAACGCACTAAGTGGTCTCCGAAATGTTGGTATTGAGTAGGCAGCTGTGCGATTTATACTACGCTGACGATATGGTTTACCTGTTCTAATGTATGGATGATGCGCAAAACGCTCTTGACAGACTCTCAAGTTCTATAACTTCTTTCGGTATGCGCTTTGCACCTTCAAAGTGCAGTGACTGGGTGTAGTCTACCCCAGCGCTGATGCTTGATGGTCAAGAATTAGCTGTACTGCAATGCTTCACCTACTTAGATAGCATCATTACCAATGATGGTACCATAGTCAGGGGAGTCACCGCCCGCATTTTCAAGGCTCGAGAAGCTCACGCAGGATTGAGACACTTTTGATGCAGACGCGATGTTTCGTTGAAACTGAAAGGTCATGTATACTGCGCCAGAGTGCCGTCAGTTCAGGTTCATGGTTGCGAGACCCTAAATTCGCGCCTGGAAGAAGTCTTCTACTGCCAATGTTTACTTAGTTCGGTGCGGGTTGGATGGAACGAGCGTGTAAGCAACTCTGAGATAATTCGTCGCGTATTTGGTAATTATTCCTTGGAGAATTCGTTGTCCCGTCGAATTCAAATTAACCGGCTTCGCTGGTTAGGACACGCATTGCGCACACAGCCATCATCTACCGCACCGCGCCTTATTCGCAGTTGTGGCGTCAGGTTGGAAGAAACCAGGGCAACAGATGACATGAAAACGAGGCATGAAGAAGTACACAGAATGACTAGATAGAATAAGTTTCTCCAGTCTTCCAGGTTGGGGTCCGAAAGATTGCAACTGGCTCTTGTTGTCATTTCTTATCAAGTCGGAATGCTTGAAAAGGTGCGTGTGCATGGTTGGATTGTGTGGCGCAGCGGTTTAATCGTACTTTGGACCCTATGGTCCGAGGTTCGAGCCCCGCCACCCGACTTTGGTGGTAGACAGCTCTCTTGTCGTCCGGTTCAATAACACGCCTAACCTATCGGGGCCCTATGTGGTTCGCCACTCCAAGTTCCGGGGTTTGGATCACGCCTAACCTATCGGGGCCCTATGTGGTTCGCCACTCCAAGTTCCGGGGTTTGGATGCCGGTTTCCACCACTGAACAGCAGGTCCTTGTGACTATGGGGTTTACCCCGTCTGCTGTTCATCACATTTAGATGTGTAAAAAATACTGTTGACCATAGAGGTTCACTTTCATTGACTCCCTCCAATTTTGACCCAATCCCTCCATCTTTTTTTTACGTACATTGAGTTTGGCAGCTATCAGAGAAGTTCGCTTCTCACTGTACGATGATGATGATACCTGTAAAGTACACTCAAAATATTGGATGATATGAGCTTCACGTCTAGATAGTGGCTGGCTCCTTATTGCTCTACTTGTTCTTTTTGCAGGGCGTCGTTCTGCTGGGCAAGCAATGAATTCTAATCGCCTTCTTTTCTTGTCGCAACTGTGTCGCTCGGGTAAGTTTGTATGCTCTGCGTCACTTTTGTGCCCTGTACCGTTTAATGTCAATATTGTCGAGGGAACATTGTTTGCCACCCCCTTCTCCGGGCATTAAAAAAGCACTTTCGCTGTACCATATTCTATTCACAAGCTTCAAAACATCTTCGCCGGACAGTATAC